CAAACTGAGTCCTGTAACTCAAATCATGGAGGGAGGAGGGAAGTCTGTCCTTGTCCTCAGTCAGGGGCAATTCTGTTTAGGACACAGGCAAGTGTCTTGTAAAAGAGGATCCATGCTGCTTCTTCCTCCTGCCCCCACCTCTTTTTCTGCAAGGCATTCTTGTAGACAGGGCCAAATTTCACCCTTAGGAAATACTCTATATATGGACAGTGTAAACAGCATTTTAAGTATGGAAAGAAGGTTTACAGACACAGGCAGAGTGCCTGCATGTATACAGTAGATGTTGAACAGCTTGCTAGTTAAATGAACACTCATGCAACTTAATCTGCTCAGTAATATTTAGATCATCAGAGAGAGCTTTGTATTCTCTGGAGATCACAGAGCTTTACACTTAGTTTTTTGACTAAATTTCTGTAAAAACAAGCAACATAACAGCAGACATGTCCTCTTCATGGGGACACATATGAACCAACTGCTCCTTGTGTGTGTCTCTCTCTCATGAAGCACAATGGGATTTACATGCAACTACTTCTATATAAAATGTGTTCTTGATTTTTTTAATGGCATTACTGATACTAAGTGCTGCTATTTGTTTCTGTTCAATAAGACCCTGCTGGGTATCTCAGACAGCAATCCTACTATTTTGCCATGTGTCTGGTGTCTTCTAACTACCTCACCATTCTGAAGATAAGTTAGAGACCAGCTTTCCGCTCCCATGCATGCTCTTAAAGGAGTTGTTTCAGGGAAAGGCCTTATTCCATTTAGCAGGGTAGAGGGCTTTTTAAAATCTCAATAGCATGGAAGCCATTTATAAAGCTTCCCATCACTACAGGGCTATTGCTGTGAAATACAGCTGCAAAGAAAGTAATACTTGGCTACACAGAAGCTAAGGTGTCCAGCTGATGTTGCAAGTAAGAGTGATAAATTCCATAAGATAATGCAGCCAGTGTTAGACTAAGGCAGTAATAAAGTACCCAAGGCTAATGCGGTGAAGTACTTTTAGTATAACTCAGTGCTCAGGTATCATGGACTACTGTAGTAAAGTAGTATTGGAGTAGAGCTTCATAAGATATTACAGCACACTGACATAAAAATATCAGAATAAATGTAGCAATAAGGTAACATAGGGCACTGCAGTAAAGTAGTATTGAGATAATGCAGCAATAAGTCACCAGGAGATGCTGCAGTAAACTGTTCTGAGGATAATGCAGTTATAGGGTGTGCCAGGAAACTGTGGTACATTAGTAGCAGAGCACTGCAGCAATAAGATACCACAGGATGCATTCATAGTAGGATACTGCAGTAACATCAAGATAATGCAAAGTAAAGTAATATCAGGATGCTAAGATGATGCAGTCAAATACCACAGAATACTACAGACAGACAATGAAGACAAAATATGCTCCTTTTCAGATCACACCATTTTATTAATTTGATGCATGGTAACCAGAAACTTTTTGGTGTTATTTATTTATCAGTTTGCTTCTAATAAGCTGGGATGACAGGACTCCCAAACAGAGCTCAATGATGCCCTCAAATAAACAACTGAGTTTGTCTGATTAGTTAACATTTTCTGGGCCATATGCTGAAGTCCTTTGTTTAGTCCTTACTCAGGTAGAAGTCCCACTGGTTTAAATGGTATCTTTGCCTTGGTCAGGACTTCAGGATTTGGCTCTATGACCTGTTGGTTCGAGTGGTGGTTTTTGCATGTAGTTACTTCTCTCTTGTGAACAACCAGGTACAGCATACCTAATTTTACTGTACTGTTTTCTGAAATGCACAAATAAAATGAGAGCCTGGAAAATCAAAAGCAATAATGGCCATATCCTCTTCACACACACATGCGCGCATGCGCACACACACACACATTTCCCATTGAAATTATTGTGAACCCTGCATTCATCCAAAGAGAATTTGGCTTAAAACAAAGGAAAAGTTCTGAATGACTCCACTAAAGACAAATACAGTGTCTCCCCAGTGAGTCTGGATTCCCAGTAGAGTGTAGTGTTTCCTATCTTTTCTTCTTTTTGATCATTTACACCACTTTTCTATTTTGTATTCTCAGAAGAAAGCATGACATTATTTTGCCACAAGGTGGCACGTATGATGCTGTGTGAATAGAATACAAATGCACTGGTTTCTGTGCACCATTGGGTCAAACACAGCCACTGCCATTCACAGTACCAGACAGATGCATCATATGTAGGGCCTCACTAAAAACTAAAGCAAAGACAGCATGACTGGCAAGACCAGCAGCATCTGTGTATTAGATAAATAGCTGGTATCTTGGGGTGGGATAAGAAGGCACTGAATAGCATGATCATGAGTGGCTCTGACTCCATGAAGCTTTCCTAGTATTATTGTTCTGCCATTTCTTCATGTCTCTAGACACAATAGCCTTTCCATCACTTTATGTAGTCTCCTCTATGTATAGCATAGAAAGCTATAAATGGTTTGGTTAATGTTTTCAGTATTGTTATGATGCCTTTGGCTAGCCCTAACTAGGATTTTTAAGTAATAAGCAGGATTCCCATGTACTGCTTAATATAGCTCCTAGTAAAGTAGTGCAAGATAGGTTCAGTCATCATGATT